CAGTACTTTTAGTCCATAAAAAATGTAAAAATATCGTACAATTGGCCAATCAGTTCCCCTTGGAATGGGGGTTTCACGTTTCAAACCGAGTGGTCCTGGGAAGGAAGCTTCGGCAGTGGGAAGGATGAGGCTGTGCATGAGTCATGCTCTTTTCCGAGCTGGGTGTAGGTAGCAGAACATCAGCTACTTTGATGCAGTTCTAATTAGGGACACGGGGGTGTTCCTGGTCTTGCAAAACACAAAAAATTCCTCCTGCATCCCCAATCACAGAGCAGGATCATTTTTCCACTGAGCATCTGTTTTTCTAATAAAAATGTGCTGCTGTGGATTTTGGATTTCATTTCTTGGGACATTGTAGAGAATTGTCATGAGAAAATCTGATATTGGAATCGATAATCTTAATTATTTCATTCCCAAAGAACCCCCCCAACATTGCAAATGTATAACAGAGTGCCTGCAGTGCAAAGGAGGAGTCTGGGGGTTGAAGAAGCATTTAGAAGCACTGCCTTTGGAGTGTATTTTTTTAAAACCTTAAGATTGCTTTGCTGAACAGAACCATGGAAATGTTAAACCATAACCAAATTAAAAAAAAAAAAAAAAAAAATCCTTTCTGACTCCCTCAACACTTAGAATGCTGTTTTTCCCATCTTGTTTTGATTTATTGCAGGAGTCATAATTGTAAGATTATCTGGAGAAAAAAAATGCGTTGAAAAGCATGTTCCTACAAGCCATGTGGTGGCCGTGAGTGGGGAGGTCGGTGCCACCCAGCCAGGCTGGTTCATGGGCCTCAGCTCCCCTCTAGTGGCAGCTCTGGCAGTGCCTGACACAAGCCCCTCCTTTCACACCACTGTGGGTTTATAAAACAACTGAGCATTAATCGATGAGTAGTTTCAGTAGCTCTGAAAATACCCTCACTCTTGCTCTCTTCCCTTTCCTTGCTGTTGCCAGTCCAAAAGGATATCTGCTAAGGATGCCTTAGCTCACCCCTACCTGGACGAGGGGCGGTTGCGGTACCACACCTGTATGTGCAAATGTTGTTTCTCCACTTCGACTGGCAGAGTTTATACCAGTGATTTTGAACCCATCACTAATCCCAAATTCGATGACACTTTTGAGAAGAACCTCAGTTCTGTTCGGCAGGTTAAAGGTGAGCAGGAGTTAATCTTGCACGTGCAGTTGTCCCCCTGCAGCAGGGGGGACATGGCATGGAGTTGGGATTTGTGCTCTGGATTCACACAGTGACCCCAGTGCTGGTTTCTTTTAGGTATTTTTCCATAGTAGACACTGGAAATTTCTTTTCACCAAAAGAACAGAATTGTAAGTGTTCTGAGATAAGGCAATGGTGCAAGCACAAGCTGACCTGCTGAAATCTGTGGGTTTCAAACCTCACCAGCGCCCATCCCTGGTGCTCTATTCCTGATCCTTTTGCTGAGGGATGGCCCTGGGGGAAGGTGAACTCACTGTGTGGCATTTTGGGGCTGTGAGGTGTGACCTCCACAGCTGTCCTGCAGAAAGGGGCAGCAGCAGCCAGGAGCTGAAGCCGAGTAGTCAGATTTAGGGAAGCTGGAGCTCTTATCCTCACTAAAATGTACTCTCAGTAAGGGAAGATCTGTTTCCCTCCAGTGTTGACATTGCATTTTACTGAAGCCAGAAGTGTTAATGCTGTGTTGTTTTGTATTTTTCTCCTGTGTACAGAAATAATTCATCAGTTCATTTTGGAACAGCAGAAAGGAAACAGAGTGCCTCTCTGCATCAACCCTCAGTCTGCTGCTTTTAAGAGCTTTATTAGGTAACTGTATGTAATCACATCTGATATTAATTCCCATTTATTACTAGTACAGAATTCACACATCCAGAATGTTTTAGGTTTTCAGTTCCTGAGAGTAGGAAGGGCCCCATAGATAAAATCCTTGTGAACTGTTTTTATGAATTCTTCTAGAATTTAAGTAAAACGTGCAAGAGTTTCAAGTAATGTTTTTGTGCGAAAGACCAGAAGTCAGACTGAAACTGAAATTGGGAAGATTGGGTAGTTTTGATTGTAGAGCTGCATGGTGAAGGCACCAGAAGCAGTGACTGAGGGCAGGTAAAGGAATGTTTGCGGTCAGTGCTGGTTGCTGTTGGCAGGCTTGGGTTGGCTTTGGGGTTTTGCTGTCCCCGGGCTGTTGGGTCCCCCTGAGCAGCAGGGCTGTGGCTGTGAGCCCTGCGAGTGAGCTCTGATGTCTGTGTCCCCTGTGCAGCTCCACGGTCGCCCAGCCCTCCGAGATGCCGCCGTCGCCGTTGGTGTGGGAGTGACCGGAGCACCCTGTACTACTGAAGATGTAATGTAGCTTTCCACTGGAGTCTGGGATTTGCAATTCTGGAGGTTAATCATGCTTGTACTGTAATTTTACTAATGAAGTTTTAAATTAACAACCACTACTTGTACAATATGAATAATACTTAGAAATGTACTAGACTTTTAATCTTGTAAAGTGGTTGTGCTTTTAGAAGAAAATATTTTACCCAGAGTTGCACGTGTTTTATGAATTCTAGTGCAGCTGTGATGGCTCAGCTCAGAACAAACAGAATTGAACCAAATTTGGGGAGGTTTTTTTTTTTAATTTTATTTTTTTTCCCTTTTTTTTTATTGAAGTGAGATTGTACAAACAGATAGACATACATTTTGATATTGAGCCATTCCTGAAGATTTTGGGTTTTCTAAAACTAAGGAATACAGAAAACTTGACTGCGACCAATCATGAAGTCCCTTTGGGTGGCCGTGGCCATGGGAAGTGGCCATGTCCCCTAATGCCCAACCCTATAAATAGCTTCTCACTAGAGCTGTGATGGTGATGTGTGCTGTTCTAAAATCAAATGTTGTGAGTAGAGAGAATGAGTTTGTGACTAGGAGAGACTAAACTTCTGTTTCCTTACCCAGTATAAATATATATATATATTTAATCTATTTTTATTAGAAGTTTTTCTGCTCTTTCTTACATAAAATCCCCCAGCATGCATCTTCTATGTGTGTAAATAATTCCATTTATGGGCTAATTTCAGAGATCCCTGACATCCTTGCTGTATAGAGAGAAACTAGCTTGCACATTTTAGGTCTGTGAAATTTTGTGAGAACTTTTTCCTGCACTGGACAGTTGAGAAAAAAAAAAAAAAAAAAAAAAAAAAAGAAAAGGACAAAAAAAAAGCACATAGGGAATTCTCTTAATTGTGTTCGTGTCTTTAGGCAAAGCTGTGGAAGTCTTGAAATGTCACAGTAGTAAATAACTTTTATTACTTTTTGGCTAATTCTTTTTCTGTTGGAACACTGAATTCTGTGCATATGTATATATGAACACAAATTGAAGGCCTCTACCTCCTGGAGTATACAACTTGGTTTGTTTACCTCCACATGATTTTTTTTTTTTTTAAGTTTAGTGTGGAGACTTGAAACTTGAATGTCCCTTCCAACTTTTGTATTTAAAACAAGACTAGAAAATTGAAGACTGTTTTTCACCTGTACAAAGGAATACTAAAAGGTGGTCTTAAAATTTGAGCCTTGGTCTGGAGAGAAACCATGGTGTTTGTTATGGACAATTAACTGTTAAAGTTATTGTAAGTTATCTGTATTTAGCAGAGTATTTTCAACAAGAGTGATCTGAGCTGGAATTGGAGACTATTAGTAAGTTATGTTTGGAAGTTTTAACTTCAATGAAGTAATTATTTGCTGTGAAAGAGACAAACATTGAATAACTGAACAAAGATGGTGCAATATCTTTGTTTTTTATGAGGCTCCTCAGAATAAAACCAACTGAAGCATTTCAATTCACTTGAATGAGAAACGTGTTTAATTATCGAGCCCCAGAAGACACTGGTATGAAAGGTAAAATCTCAGAGGTTGGTCAGTTAATGTGGCACACTTGCTGGTCACTTTGTAAAATGTAGATTTGGAGTACAGTGGTGAAAACATTAAATGTGACATTTGAAAACGCGGTGCTGGCGTCATTCTTTCCTGCCTGCTCGGTCTTGGTGAGGTTTCCCGTTCTCCCCCCGGTGTAACGGGCCGGGAGGTGCCGGTCCCGCTTGGGGCGGGTCCTGCAGTGCTGGCGTCGCCCGGGGGCACCGGGACCCGGCTCAGCAACGGGGCAGTCGGAGCCTGCCGTGCCTGGCCGGGCTGTACCGGGACGCGGGCAGCCCTTGGGCTCTGGAACTCGGGATCAACGCCTCCGGGGAAGAAATGGCTTGGCCCGAGGTGCGGGACCAAGGGGGACAAGAGCCGGGCTGGCGAGGGCGCGGCTGCCGGCAGCGCCGGATAAAGGAGAAAGGGCGGGGACAGAACGGGAAAAGGGGAAGAACGGGAAAAGGCGCGGTGGCGGGGCCAGGCGGGGCGGGGCCAGGCGGGGCGGGGCCAGGCGGGGGGGGGGCAGGGGGGGGGG